GAATCAAATAATAATCTTCAATCTCTATAACAACACAGCATTTTTATAATAGAAAGGAGTTGCTGTAGGACAGTATATCAATAGCTTATATATTTTTGTGTCTTGCCTTCTAAAGCAGCCCTATTCAAAGCAGTGACTGACAAAAGCCACAAATAAACATGGCAGCATCAAAGAAAATGGTCTGCACCACGCACTCATATAATTTTTATTATCTTCCCATGGCAAAATAGGAAATATGTTTTCTTTTAGTTTAGTGAGATCTGATAACTTCTATGATTAAAACAGGAATGTTGATTAAAATCAGGTCACTCATTAATGTAACAATGACAGGGTATAGGCAGTACCTTTTAATTAAGCAATTAAAAAGAAGGAAAATATCAAAGATGATTCTTAGGGAAATACTGGTAAACAACTGACCTTTATGTACTATAACTGAAATTGAAGCTAAGCATGATTTATCTTTGTTATTGTAAAAGCTTTATAGGCAGACAAATGACAATTAGGTATAATGGTTTTTTCTTAATAGCTGAAATAACTAATAACAAACAAAAGAAAGAAAAAAATGGAAAAAATAAACAAGAAAACCTTATTGCAGATCAAGTAATCCACAATCTCACATCTTTTGTCTGTAGAATATACGTGCATTTTTTTTAGTCTGCTAGACAGGTTAATCTGAGGAAAAAAGAAAGCCAGAGCAAATTTAGTCCTGGAGAAATGAAATGTAAAGCAATACCTGAGAAATCATTAAGCAATATACTCTAGGTTATCATATTGTTTATATTGTAGCAACCTAATTTATTTCTATCTAATCCATTGCTTAATTATAGGTATAAACTAAGCACAATTCAAGAGCTACATAATGTGAATGAACATTACCCGCATTCCATGTTTATATCTATTGATGCTGCAGTATTCTGAATAGCAACTTGTGGATTACGCCTTGCACTACCAGCCCCAAAGAGGTGTTTTCCAGCTGCTGTCAGCGTTGTTTGTTTGTGACAGGTTCTGTTCACGCGTCCCTTCATGTTAGTGCTTAAAAGACACATTTTCACGTACTTGAAAGCATAGGTATGTTTAAATATTTATGGAATGAGAGGAATTTTTAAAATCTTCCTCGAAAAGACTGTTAGTGGGAATTTGCATGTTGAAGTACACATGCTCCATGTACAAACAGTTTTTAAAACTGGCTATTGAAATCACGCTAACACCCTAATATATCTCATATTCACAAGAAAATGTTCTTTTTGTGTGTTTAGCCCAGAGTAAGTAAAGCAGCCCTGATCAGAGCTCCTGTCCCACAAAGAACATGCAATGTCATGTCCTGTATGTAAAGGAGAGCAAGGGCTGTATTCCAGATGTTGGGCATAAAAATATCCACTGAGCCACTCTGTGTCAGGAGAGGCAGTAGTTAGCAGCTGGAAGGTCACTTCTTTATATTCTTAAATCTACTCTTAAACACTGTTTGCATGAGTGACCAGAGCTCCCAATTTTGCAAAATCAAATAGTTGCTCCAGTGATGGTTGAGGTTCGCTTACTCACCTTTGCACAGAAAAGAACTGGAGAGGTGCTTGCAGACACTTACTGTCTCACTTAATAAGTGGACTCTTAAAACATTTCTGTGCTTAACTCTTGCATCAGGCTTTCTGCACTGTCTTGGGCGCAGTCATCTGTGAGGAGGTATGCGTATGTATGAGGAAGAGGGTGCTGAATTCTTAGGCACTCACCTGAGGAACATGATGGCAGACTGTGCAATACCCCTGGCTGGTGCTGTTTTACTCATGTAGATGTAAGGCTGCCTCTTCTCCAGTGCCAAATTAGTCGAGTTGGTACAACCTACTGGTGACTCCCACAGCACAGCGTGGAAGGGAAGCCAAGTGCATTGAGCCACGTAAATCTCACTCATACTGGTGACGGAATTCAGTTGCTTTCTCCAAAGTAAGACTGATACCTGCCCATGTGAGCTTCTCCTCTATCTTGTTTTGATGCAAACTATCAGTAAATTAGAATCACAGAACCACAGAACAGCCCAGCTTGGAAGTGACCTCAAAAAATCATCTGGTCCAACCTGTCGTATGAAAGGGAGCCTAGATGAGATTATCTAGCATCCTGTCCAGCTGCATCTTGAAAACCTCTAGTGACGGGCACTCTACCATGTTCCTGAGGAGGTTGTTCCAGTGATTGATTGTTCTGACTGTGAAAAATTTCTTTATTATGTTGAGATGAAACCTCTCCCAGTGTAACTTGTACCCATTGCCCCTTGTCTTCACCATGTGGCTCCTTGCAAAAAGATGGTCTCTGTCTTCTTTGTAGCCTCACTGTAAGTACTGGAAAACTGATGAGGTCAGAAAACTGTGAGTTAAGCTCATGTGTTCAATGCTGCACTGGGAGGGAATGGGATAGAGGCACGGTCTCTGTCTTCTTTGTAGCCTCACTGTAATTACTGGAAAACTGATGAGATCAGAAAACTGTGAGTTAAGCTCATGCTGCACTGGGAGGGAATGGGATAGAGGCATTTACACCTTCAGGGATATAGCTATGAGCAATGTAAGTAGTAATTGCCTCCCTGCTGTTTGGTACCACCTTCCCTCCATCTTCAGCAGAGATGATGGATGCACTGTGTGCTAGGGCAGCCAATGAAGAGCATACATCCAGCACATATAGGCATGATGACATGAGCTGTGGATTGAGAGGGTAAGTGTTGAGCTGTGTCCACATCCGTAGGTTACACTAAAGAGTGAGCTTCCCTCAGATGTGCCACGTATCGCTGGTATGTGCTAGGGCTGCGTTGGCAAAGTGCAGAAATCCACAGTGCATGAGGAATGTGCCACGTATCACTGGTATGTGCTAGGGCTGCGTTGGCAAAGTGCAGAAATCCACAGTGCATGAGGGATGTGCAGTGGATGTTATCCATGAAACAGTGACCATCTGTCCTGGAAAAGTGGGCTCCGTCCCTCCTCCCAGTGACAGGACAAGGCCATGTGCCACCTCCGGAAAGGTGAGCTCCGTCCCTCCACCCAGTGACAGGACAAGGCCATGTGCCACCTCACCTGCACCATGTGCCAGGACTTCATTGCGTGTGCCCAGTAGTCCTGCCACCACCCCTCCCAGCCCCAAGAACCAGCTGTTCACGGCCGTGCAACTTCTGAAGTTGTTCTTGTGTATATAGTCTTGTATATGTGTGTTTTTGCAAAGACTAGTTACTGAGTGCGAACTCCATTATACACTGTACACGTTACATGCTCTTCAGAGCCAAAGCAGATGCCCTATGCAGACAAAGGACTTTATTACAGTTCTTTCAGCCGTCGTCTCTTTTCATGTTCAGCCTGTGAAGGATGGCATTTTGAGGACTGCTGGAGGAAATTTTCACTGTAAAGAGGCCTGGCCATGCCTTTTAGATGATTAGCTCTCATTTTAAAGGTAGAAACTGCTTTTAGCACGGACTTTTCCCTCGTCTGTTCTGCAGTTCTTTGGGACTGCGTGAGCCTCCCGAGAGCAGCATGGTCCCCCTGCTCAACCAGTTCTTTTCTGAAGGCCTTTGCCACTCGCTGTCTGGGGAATCTTTGAAATGGATGAGTTTCCACTGCATACTCTCATTTTTCAAACAAAGTTTCAGGGAAATTATCCTTAGTCCAAAAATTGGCTTTTATATTTTTGCTGATTCTCCAAATTTGGCATTTATTACATCTCTCACATGTAAAGAACAGTTTTCTAAGCACTGAAATTCTTGAAATTATCCAAAAACTTTATCTCTTCAGATAACACATGGTCAGACAAAGAAGTTAAAAGGTATGTGATCATTATTTGATAATACTTGGTGTGCTTAGGGGTAAATCACACTGAGAGACCAATTAGCAAGTAATAGGCCCAAGGGGAAGAAAAAACAAATTCCGTCATCTAAAGTCAAGGTTATGACATATGGAGTAGTTTTCCAGAACTATAGACACAGTCTCGCCCTTTGGTTGTTCCAGACGTTTTCATTAGAAAGAAGATGCAACCATATAGCTCTAGTTCCTGTCATATCAATTGGCATTGAACAGGAGTGTACTCTGCACAATTTGACAAATCTCATTGTTAAGCCGCAGAGTCTCAGCTCTTAATTTTCTGTATCCTTTTAGGAAGTGGGATTCAGGTTCTTAAAGTCAAGTTTCTTTAGGTGTTCTTACACAGGATTTTTGTTTCCTGGTGAGATACTAGTAGTTTTTTAAAATAGATCTTAATTTGAAAATCTCAAGGTTCTCTCACAAAGGTTTGGTGTGTTTCTTTTTTTCATCACAGTTTCTCTGGGTTTATTGCTGGGTGTCTCTGAAAAGATCAATTAAATATTGTGTTTTGTAACACTTCTTTGAGAAAGATCTTACCCAGGGTCTATCGGCAAGAAGATTGAGTTTCTTGCACTGCGGGCAAGGTGGTTTTTTTGTTGGTGGTTGTTTGTTTGTTTTTTCCTTCAGAGGCATATGGGATTCTATTTTCAAGGAGTTAACAGTCCCCACAGGGGACAGATTTTTCATGAGTATTCTGCATGCAGAAACCCCGTGATTTATATGGCCAGATTTAAAAAATCTGGTCAACTTGTGCATTATGAACATCCCTGCTAATTGGACCTGAAATGTCTGAATTAAAGCGTATGTCTAGACTGCAGGAATAGTGCCCTCAGTCTTTGTCCGTTAATCACCAAAGGTGAGGACCAGATGGAGTGGTGTGGCTCTCTTTTGGCCCAGGTTTCCTTCCCATGGATTTGAAATATGCATCTGAATCCAAGAGCAAGGCAGTGCTGCTGGATATTACCATAGAGCAACAGCTCTCCTGCATTCCTGTAATAGTCATGGAAAGAGTACGATCTTATCCTCTGATGGATGACATAAGCACTTGAATACACCTTCTGTCTGGTAGAAAGTGCTATTACTAACTAACCATGCTCCCCTCTGCTGAAATCTATCCTAATATTTTAGGGCAAAGTGTTAGCAGGTTGATTTGTTGATTTTTCCTCTCTTTCTTGACAGCTCCTAGACTGTTTTGTCATCCCAGTGGTGATACTGCTCTCCTGGTTCTTCTTACTGGTACGATACAAGGCAGTACATTTCATTGGCATCGTGGTCTGCATTCTGGGCATGGGATGCATGGCAGGAGCTGATGTCCTCGTTGGGAGACAGCAAGGAGCAGGTGAGTAGGGATGGATGTGTCGTGTGACCAATTTCTACTCAGAGAAGCCATTGATGAGAATATGTCACTTTGGGACCAAAAAAAAAAAAAAAAAAAAAGGAAAATTGGCAAGAAACCCTGTGCCTTCATGGATCCAAAACACTGTACCATTCAAAGTTGCTTCTTTGACAGAAGGGACAGAGAACAAAAATGGGTCAACGCTTAGAAATCAGCACTGGGGCAAACAGGTTTGATGGGCCCTGTGTCTGCAACCCAGATCACCCTCTGTGTAGTCTGGGGTGACAAGCTAAATACTTGTAGTTTCCTTCTGTTTTGGCTTGATCTTTTGACTGCAAACCTCGGTTGCTTCTTTTCCAAACTGGCTACATCTTTGAATCATAAGCCCCTCTCACATCCCCTGTGTACTCCTCAACTTTGCTTCTTTTTTTGTACAGAGGTGGGGTTGCTGTGTAGATGCTGAAAGACACTGCACCTACATACTAGCTGTACCAATTGGGTTATACACACAGTCACAGAGTAAAGGTTTGGGATTTGCCTGCGTCATTGTTGGAAAGAATCTTCTTGTGTGTAAAATGTTCTTTTTTTATGTGCGGCATCATATGAATAATGTGTGTGTAGCTATTAATGCAGACTAGACAGAGTTAGATTTCATCGATCAACTTCCTCTGTCACATTGATTTCTCTAGTGCCAACACAAATGATGTGGGAAGGCTGGAAATTCTTTTCAAAGATTGTCAATTAGGCACAGTTTTCATTCTTAATTAAAAGCACTGAATTGTGAGCTGAGCATAATACGCTGGGATTTAAAATTCTTGACTCAGCTTTCTGAATATAAATGCAAGTGCTGTAAGAACTGCATTTGCCAGGATGCTGCTAAATAAAACAAGGGAGTTTGTGACAGTACTCGCCATATCTTCCTTCCCCCTTTTGTCCCTGTCCTTTATCCTAAAAGAAGACTTTTAGTTCATTGGTCTCTTCCAGAAATAGCTCTGCCCCAGCTAAAAAGGAGAGAATATACTCCATACTATGAAATCAGCCAGCCAAAGCTGCATTAGAAATGACTGATTTCAGAGGGACTGGGTTTTCAATCCTGGGTTCTGGAGGAAACATCCCATGTCCAGTACTCTAGGGAGTAACATGTTAGGGCGGGTGAGTTGTGGATCAGCAGGAGTGTGTGGGGCAATGGACCTCAGTGGACAAGGAAGAGATTGAGGAACACTGGCACTTTGCCATCCAACTGCAATAATTAGATATTATTTGACATATTCATTACTAAAGCACAGGTATAGCTGTTAGGTAAATTTGTCCAGAATACATGGTAACATGTATTATTGCCTTTTAATTCAGACCTACACATGAAAAGCTGTGTCCATGCTTATTGCTATGCATTTTTTTAAGTGGCAAAATGATGTTATTAATGACGTTGTCTTTATCAGAGTAACATAGATCAGCTAGTTTCATTTATCCGAAGGAGTAAAACTGTACGTTAAAAATCTGCAAATAAAAAGAAGTATTGCCTGCAAAGGAAAAAAAAAATCTTGAAACTCTTCATGAAGGGGTTCCACACCATTTATAGGATATTTCTTAGGACTGGGCAGACAAAAGAAAGGAATACACCAAAAGCAATGAAGCTGTATTAGTCCTCAGTAAACTCCTCTGTTTATCCTGTATTTTAGGCGACAAGACCTGTTGACACCTGTTTTGCCCCTGTTGACTGTACTATTTACTGTATTAGAAGTGCCATAATGCTCTGCTAGGCACCTACTGCATACAGCAATGTAGTCTGCCAACTCTTACAGTAAGGGAAAATGAATTTAAAATGCATCATTGAGAGATTAGTGGTTATTTTCCAAACTGTCTGCAGGAATTAGGTATAATGTGCAAGCATGCTCTCAACTTTCAATAAATATATGGTAGTTTACCTCTCTTTATTGTATCCTGACTGATGTTTTTCACATTTCTCAATGGGAAAAGCAATTACTAGCAAGTACTTTGTGCTCTATCACCTTACATGCCAAGGTGTAAGCATTGTGCATAGAGCACAAATGTACCTTAAAATAACATTTTTCTGAACTAAACCCCCTGAGGTACCTTGATACTTGTGCTCCTGTAATACACGGGGGTCTAAGATAGAGAGGTCTAAGTGTTTCATCCAGATTTTTCAAAGCACTTCACAGCTTTAGCTTACCACAGCCTCTGAAAACCAGTCACTTCAGTCCTGTTAATAAGTATATGAGAGTATGTTTAGTCTAAGATGGGACACATTGAGACTGATTTTTAGGTGTTCTGAGTGTCAGTTATTACAACCAAAAGCAAAGAGAAACAGGTAAGGTAAAAAAATGGCAAAGTGCTCTAGTGAGAGAGTGAAAAGTAATTGTATCAGAACATAATTCATATTTAAATGATTTATGTTACACTATAATGCTATAATTAGTCCGCAAAACATTAACTCCTCTCTGGACTGTATGAATTCTGCTTCTAGAGAACATTAAATATGCTAACAATTATTAATGCAAAGCGTTTTTTCCAAGCTATGCCTGGTGTTTCTTCAGAAGAATGACCTGTGCCATTAAACTGGTAAAGTACAACTGTATTAACCTGAAATACAACCTGAAAGTTGATACATATTTCCTTAGCAATAAACCAATAGATGCATATGGATTTTACATCCATGAAAGTATGTCTGTTAGGATGTGTTAGGATATATCAGTCTTGGGGGAAAGTTCCAAAGTCAGCCTCTTGAGGAAGGAAAGAAAAGGCTTTTGACAACCGGGATACTAGAAATTATTAAGAAAGAAACCAAAAATACAGTATAAAACATTTTTATGCCACTATATAAAGTTTTGATGCACTAGCCTCCTGACTACCATGTATTACTCTGGTCACTGCATCTCAAAAAAAATGACCAGAAAATAAGCTTATAGAAGCAATGGAGAAAGGTGAGAAAGCTGTTCAAGGGCCTGAAATGGCTTCAGGATGAAGAGATTGTAGGCAGACTGAGACTTTTCATCTCCCAGAAAAGGCAAGAAAGAGACAGAAGATGGTAAAGGTACGTGAAATCTTCAGTGGTATGGACAGGGTCAGTATAGAGTGATTCTCAAATACTTCTCACAATCAGAAAATTATGCAATGCCCAATATAATTTTTAGGTATCAGCCTTAAAAGCTAAAAACACAAAGTACTTTTTAATAATGCATGCTTAAATTGGGTAAGTTACTGCCACAGGATATTGTAGAGGTCAAAACTATATGGACTTTACACAAATTAATTCAGGATCTATTAAGTTTGACAGTCTAATGCAACTTCCATCTCAGAAAATCCTTAATCTGCTGAGAACTGGCTGATGAAAATTCCCCTGTGCTTCCCTATTTCTTCTTTCCCCAGGTGCCCTGTGCTGCCCAGTGCCAGATGAGGGTCCTGGGCTAGGCAGACCCATGCTCTCTCCAGGTCTTGGCTTTCTCTTCTGGGAAAGACCTGAAGGTTGAGGGTCACACTCTCCGAGCATGAGTGCGCTTTGGGGAGAGTCATCGCAGTGTGCTGCTTGGGGCTGTCCCACCTCTGTGAAAACACTCGGCCTCTGAGCCGTCCTTGTTTCGCAGATGCAAAAGGATGGTATTTTTGTCTCGGCCAGGCTCTAAGGTCAAAAGCTTTTTCAGCAGTACTTCCCCGAAGTGTGAGTGAGTAGCTGTAATAAATACCAAATGAGTGAGCTCAGTGAGGGATGATTGGAGCCAGTGTGGAACATCAGATGCATCAGGGGTATGAAGAGGTTTTGTAAAGTGCTGATGTTTATTTTAAATTAAGGGCATCTTCGTGGCTGATTGCAAAAGAAGGCTAAAAGGAAAATAAGTACCAAATCTTAAAAAGATAAATGATCAAATATAAACATGCTGTCAGTCAAGGTACGTGCAAAACAGAAGTTCAGAGAGAGGCAGAATGAGTACGTGAAGGAGAAATCTAGTAATGTTTGCTAAATACACAGAAGCCACATCTCTGAGCTGAAAAATGTTGGAGACTGAGAGAGTATTACTGGGAGTATTTTAAACATTTACCCCATTCCTGTTTGTCCCTACACAACTTATACTTTTCTGGTGCTTATAGCCAGCGATAGAGACAGCACGCTGGATAAATGAACCCTTAGTCCATCTTCTTGTGGCTGCTCTTATTTTCATAAATTTCCTCCCACCGGAAATTTCAGAACTGTAGTTTGGAATGAAAACTGAAGGCTTAAAGGAACTCAATAAAAGAAAAGGTTGAAAAGATCATTTTGAACCCATCAGAATGTTTGGCTTCCATTTTTATTTACTGCAGTGTGTATTTTACAAATCAATAATCATAAAACTTAAAAAGGCAGGAACTAAAAAAATAAATCAAGAGGTATTTTAAAAGAAAACAAAGTTTCTTTAAAAAAAATAAAAAATACAGTCTAGTACTTCAGCATTTCTACCAAACCTTTTCAAAGGAAATTCCATTATATTGAGCCTTTTGGAATATAGTTCTACAGCAATGTCTGACAGCTTTGTGAAGCTGTAGCTCTTGTAGAAATCATTTAACAAGCCATATGTGCAGAGGGGTTCGCATGCATCGGTTTGCAAAGCCAGGGCCTCAGTTTTCAAGCTGGAACTTGATCTTGATCAAATCTCCCTGCAGCCCTCCCCACCCCCCCAGTAATAACAGCCTCCAAGACTTAAAAAGATTTCAAACAGTCTTTGATAAAACAATGTTTTAGTAATTATACAGACCTGGAGGTATACATCTTGGTGTTCATTGCGTGCATTAGGTACTGCTATGTTAATTGAACCTCTTTTAAAAATCTGTCATTATCATCACCCTGTCTACACCCCATCCTTCCTCCTCTCTTTCTTGTCAAACAGCTTCATGTGAGAATGAGGTCAATACTGGGGTTGTAATAATTTCTTCACTCATTTCACAGGTACACAGAATTTTTCAGTTGGTTTCACATCTAAATGCTGGACATGTTTTAGACTGGTTAGATTTCAAGATGAGATGCAAACTGCTTTATATAGCTGAGTCATATTCTATCTGCAAAAAAAGTAATAATAATAAATTAAAAAGGATTAGTCACTGAAGAGTGCCACTTGGTTTCTGTATTTTTTTACAAATTTTTCAGATTCTCTTATCCACAGCAAGGATAATGCTCTTCCTTCATCTCTACTAGATTTTGCAGGGATATTGAATGAAAACTGTTAAAAAGACAGAACATTTTTGTTCAGCTTATTAACCTAGATATGGGCTACTTAGTGACTGAGGATTGAAATCTGTAAGGAAGAACTTGCAATGGTTCTAGACAAAACATGGTTGTTCTGACACATTCTGATTTTTCCCATTTATTCCTAGGTGAAAATAAACTGATAGGGGATCTCTTAGTACTGGGCGGAGCAACGTTATACGGCATCTCAAATGTTTGTGAGGAGTATATCGTCCGAAATCTGAGTCGAGTGGAATTCCTGGGCATGATCGGACTCTTTGGCTCCTTCTTCAGCGGAATTCAACTGTAAGTGAGCAGGTTTGAGCCTCAAGGTCATTCAAATAAGTGCAGCTGTGGCCTCTGCTGAGGTACTCTAACCCTCTCTTCGAAGGTAGCCATTTCCTGTGGAAAGTAGATGTCCTCTAATCCTGGAATTTCCATTGGTTTTCATATTTGCATTGTTTTCATATTTCACATTGGTGGATTTGAATAATAACACAAATTTGTACCTTAGTACTCTTATTCAGGAAAGATGGGGAGGGACTGTTTATCAGGGAGCGTAGTGATAGGATGAGGGGTAATGGGTTTAAGCTGAAGGAGGGTCGATTTAGATTCGATATTAAGAAGAAATTCTTTACTGTGAGGGTGGTGAGGCACTGGAACAGGTTGCCCAGAGAGGTTGTGAAGGCCCCATCCCTGGAAGTGTTCAAGGCCAGATTGGATGGGGCTTCGGGCAACGTGATCTAGTGGAGGGTGCCCCTGCCCATGGCAGGGGGGTTGGAACTAGATATCTTTGAGGTCCCTTCCAACCCAAACCATTCTATGATTCTATGATTCTATTACTGGTGTCCTTGAATAGTCGCATGGGGAGGGAGGAGTAGAAGACATATCCTACCATCTTGTTGCTGGAAGACAAGTGGATACTTCACGTGTTGGTACTTCACAATACTTGATGTTATCTGTGAATAACAAAATCTGCAATTCTCTGGTTCTGTTTCATACTTTTAAAAAGTCACTTAGATTTATAAACAGGTAGAAAACACATCCAGTCAGAAGGTATTTTCTAATTGGCTCATTCTGTCTATCTGCATTACGATAAGGCAGAAATAATGAAAAAGCCTTTAAGAAACTGGCATTTTCACTTCAAAATATTTAGTACTCAGGAGATTGTCACATGGATTTCAGGAACTACTGAATCATGTCTATATCCACATGTACCTAATAAGCGCCTCACGTGCAAGCCTAAGAGTTGGAAGGTAGCTTTCAATATTGTAATACTGTGACTGATCAAAGTGTCGTAAAAGTCACCATGCAAGATTGCCACATTTTATGCAGATCCATCACTGGTACTTGTCACACAGAATAACTTTTGATTATTAGTCAAAACCAAGTTGCTTCCCTGCATATCTGAGCTACTCAAGTTCTAAGAACAGAGACTGATCAAAACAATGACCCATCAATTCCCACTTAATTAGTTCTATTTCTTTGGCCAGAAAGCTTATTGTATTTATGTGGGATCTAAACATGTGACTTAAAATTATTTGTAATAACTGGCTTCCACACAAGTGGTTCCTTTTTTAAAAATATGGAATTCAAGAGTGCATAAATGAGCCTATATCTTTGGCTATAGTATTTTTGTTAGCTACAGTGTTCATGGTATGTAGGTACTAACTGATTCTGAGGGCATCAAAGCAGTGCCCTTATCTTGCTCTGTGCGTGTAAACTGTCATGTACATGTCTCGTATTCCTGAATTTAATTATAGTGTCATTACCTCCTCTTGACCCAAGCAGTTAGTCTGTGAGTTATTTTGCTGGGGAGAAGCTGATGCTGGAAGATGGCATCTTTGTATACAGAGGATACAACTGGAAGGAGACAATAAGAAACCATTTATCTGCTGAAAGTCCTAAGGCTTTTCTAGCCAACCTTTGGCCCAAAAGTTCTCACCAGCAGGCTTTTCTTCACCAGCCTCTGCAACTTTTTGCTGCTAGTGCTTTTGTGGAGTCCCAATAACACTTAGCTCATATATGTACTTTTTTAACAATGTGGCAAAAGCTTGCATATCGGGAGAGGCTACTTGTTTCTGCTACTTGGTGCCATGAAGCAATTCAGCACTTTCTTACTTGTAATGAAGAGCAGACATCACATAGCTATGAGTTCACAGAGGTTTAATCTAACTAAATATACCAATTGTTTCAAAGAGAAGTCAGCTCCCCACGCTACAGTTGCAGACTTGTTGAAACATTACTAGCCACTTTGGTGCAATATAGGACCTTCAGGTCCTATAAAATGAAATAATCCAAGGAAGGAATGTCTCAGAGGTAGGGCCGTTTCCAGGCATGCTAGACGCAGCACTGGTCAAAGTTTTGTTGGCATCCACAAAATGATTGAGGATAGGGACCGTGTGTGCTAATACCAGTGGAGGTCTATGTCTCATGTTCATAGGATTTACAGGGAGCAGTACAATTCTGAAGAAAGGAAAATATCGAAAAGTGTGTAGGACTACGCTGAATGTAGGAAAGACAAAACGGTAGCCAGAAGTGAATGTCCCCTTTATTGACATGCACTGATCTCAAAATAATATAGTAGCAAAAAGGTGTGGCATTTGCCTTGTATTCTATGTGCATTTACAAATATCTACATATGTGTGGGTGACTCATGTTAGTTCATGCTTCAGCTCTAGTGCGGGGCTATGTCTCTAAGAGGACTTTCAAGAAGTAGGCTATTGTTTTCTATAACAGTTTAGCCAGAGTGCTTAATATTAGACTGCAACGTAAAATAAACCCATATAATGCCTGTTGGACAGCAAATGAAGGACAATGGTGTCAGGGCAAGCAGTGAAGTAAAGCAAAGAGTTTGCTAACTACTCAGGCATGGTGGAAAGAGAAGTTTAGTGAGTTGAATGTGACTAGAGCAAGGAGGAACTGTATACTAAGAGAAGAGAAGAAATTAGTTGACAAGAGTTGGAGATATAGCAGCCACCCAGCAAATGGAGATAATACTGTCTGACAGAATCACATAGTCATAGAATAACCTACTTTGTAAGGGACCCCTGAATGTCATCTGGTACAAGCTCTTACTCAAGGCTAACTTCAAAGTTATGTCAGATTGCTCAGGAGTTTGTACGGTTGAGTTCTTAATATCTTCAAGAACTGAAATGCCAGTTTTGCTGGGCAACTTGTTCCAGTTTTTGACCAATATTTTTTTTCCTTATATCTAATCAGTTTCCCACATGCAACCTGTGTGCATTGTCATTCATTCTTTTGTTGTGCACCTCCAAGAAAAGTCTGACTCTATCTTTTCTGTAACTACCCATTAGGTAGTTAAGACAGCAAATTCGCTGTCGCATCCTCCTTCCCCCCGAATTAGTCTTCTCTTCTTCACACTGAACAAACCCTGCTGTTTCAGCATCTCCTCTTACATTATGTGCTCCAGCCACCTGACCATTGTGACAGAGCTCCACTGTATTCCCTCCAATTTATCAATGCCTGTCTTATTCTGGGCAGCCCAAAATTGGATACAGTACTCCAGCTGCTGTCTCACAAATCATGCCCTTCAACTTGCTGGCCAGACTCTTACTAACACAGCCCGAGATGCTGTTTGCCTTCTGTGCTCCAAGGACACATTGCTGACTCATGTTCAGATTGATGTCCACCGGGACTCCAAGGTTTATTTCTGAAAAGCACCTTTCTATCCAGTCAGCTCCCAACCTGTAGTGTTGTATATGGTTATTCCACCCCAGGTGCAGGAGTTTATATTTGCTTTTCTTGAACATCACAAAGTTTCTCTCGGCCCTTTTCTTTGGACTACACTGTGGGTAGTCCACCCATCCAGTCCATACCTCTTTAGTCTCTAAGGATCTTTCAGGAAATCATGTTGGAAGCTTTGCTAAAGTCAAGGTAGGTTACACCTCATGCTCTCATCCATTCCCTCTCCTTTATTTACTGAGACAGTCATCTCATCATAGAAGGCAGTCAGTTTTGTCAGGTATGGTGTGCTCTTGAGAAGTCTGTGCTGGCTGTTTCCAGTCATGTCTTCAAGCATGCAAATGGCTTCTGGGAAGATTTGCTCTGTAATCTTCCCAAAGGTTAGCATAAAGCTGGCCAGGCTATAATTTTTGCTCTTTTTTGAAACTGGATGTTGCATTTTTCTCTTTTCAGTCATCAGGGATGTCCTCCAATCACCACAACCTTTCAAAGATCATTGTGGTTCCAATTCTTCAGTGAATCTGGCATCACTAAATGGCAAAGTTGCTCTTACCCTTCTTTATTTCATGGATCATAATGAATCACAGACCATAGCATATTGTTTTATAGTTTGTATCGTATAGGCAATATTATGAAAACAATGTTCTTACATTTAAGTTATATCAAAATTTGTTTGCCAGAACAAGACACATTGCAGTTTGTTTTCATTATATTCTTCAGAAATTGCTGATAAGAGACACATATGCCTTTGCATGCAAAGACACTTATAATTTAGTTATTTTGCAGATGAAATAATCTTATTATTCAGTACACAATATTAGATTTGCCACACATCAGCAGCAAGCAACTTAGAATTTCCAGGATGTAACTCTCTAGACCAGATTAATCTGGAAGGCACTGAGTTCCTGCAGTTGTACTATTAGACTTGGTCTTCTACATACCACCTTTTGTACTAGGTACTTAGTTTTCAATCTATGTAATTCCATGTTGTATACTTGTTTAAAATAGTGTCCAGATGAGCATGCAGAGTTCTGCACAGCAGGAGTTATCTAGAAATCACAGATCAGAGAAAGTGCTTAGCTGAATGAAGACCTAGCTCATGAGATACCTCATCTCCAAGGGTCTATCTGCCTGGATTGGGAAGACCTGACTTGTCACCTTAGAATTTTCTGGATCTGGGATTTTGATGTTAATGTACAATGGAAGACTTACAAGATGTGGACTTTTGTGGCTTGGCCCATCCTTTGCCTTGTTTCTCTACTTTCATTGCTGTGACTATTTGATCTCTCTCAGTATGTAACAAATCACGGTATTCTCCCCAAAGCCAGCCTGTGATATCTATTTATTTGACACTGCAGAGCCACTCTGAAGGGTGAATAACTCAGACAGATACATTATTAATCATTAAACTTCAAAAGCTTTCAGAATATTAAGTCAGAAGAGTACAAGAAGATTGAACATATAGGGGGATGGGAACTTTGGGCAAGTATATAGAGAGCTGGAAATAAACCAGTGGAAATTGTATGCTATCACGTCTGATTACTGCCCTGAAGATCTTTCAAATACACAGGCACAGGGATAATGCCAGAGTGGATTAGCAAAGTCTGATTGCATTTGGTTCCTACAGAGATTTTTTGTTATAAGGTTATTTATGTTGTTTTGTCCAGCATTTGAATTGAATGAGTGGAAGTAATTTAACTTCTGTTCTCTTCCATCAAATTTTGCCTTCTTTTCTCTTACAGTGCAATCATGGAACACAAAGAGCTGTTGAAAGTTCCCTGGGATTGGCAAATAGGTAAGAAAACACTTTATTGCATTGAAGATAGATAGTTGCTGAAGGAGGCGTGGAGACAAACAATGTTTCGGGAGGCAGGCACAAAGTTTCACAGGAGCCAATGTTTGTGACTTTTCTGCCAGTTGCTGCCGAAGGTTGAACCACATGCCTCATAACCTTTCTTAAATGATTTGTCCTCCCATTGCCTTATTATGCCTTCCTTGCACCATTAGGTTAAACATATGAATGCCGTAAGATAATTATTCAGACAGCCGTGAAGTAAAACAATAATGGAGTTCCAGTTCTAAGATTCAATGCAACAGATAAATGAGGTAGTCATTAAGAGCCAAACCTTTTCAATGAATGCCAAAGAAAGAAAATGGAACCTAACAAAAAAACTAAAAAAAGTACTTGCAGTGCATATTATAGCCTCATAAACTCATTTCCAAGGGGAGCATTTCTGTATACAAATGGTTAATTGCTTTCCAAGTAGTCTTGGTGGAATATAGCAGATGTGTCTTTTAGACAAGTTTAGGTAGCATCATGCACAATGAAGCTCTTACGGTGTTCTGCTATGCAGTGGATTGTATTTTCCCATTTCAGTTTGGAAGCTGAGTTTATGATCTTAGACTCCCTTCTAATTACTCCAACAAATTACTTGCTTTAAAAGCAAATCCACATTTAGGAAAGGAGAGTCTCTATAATCACGCTTTTACTATTTATGACAATAGAAGAAATAAAAGAATACTAATAAAGAGCTGATATACTTAACAGGGGATTCAAGCTTTGGGAATCCATTGACAATTGCTTGTTCCCTAGTTGCAGAATGAACATAAAAATGACAGCTCAGGAGTATGCAAAGGCAACTGATTATGTGGGGAATCCCTGAGGACAGGGGATACAAGTTACAGGATACACTGTTGTTTTCTTTAAACTTAGTTCACAATTTCCTCTCATCATCATAAACCTTAATAAAAATGGCATCTTTCACAAAACACTGCATCTAGAAGTCTTGGAGATTCGATGGTAGAGCTATAAAACTAAATGACAAATCAATTTAAAGTATCCATGGAGAAACATACTCAACTGCATACTGTAAGTGTATTGGCCTTCTTTAATCTGAGATAATTAGCATAATTGTATCAGTGTTTGTTTATACTTCATGATAAGGAGCTCAGGGACATAATTAATCTGGTACTGATGGAAGTAGCAATGGTCATACTGAATTAATCTACTATCTGTGTAAATGTCATATATACTTCCATGGGAATTCTGTTGTAACTCAATATCAGTGAAATGTGCTATTAAAATAAAGTCTATCTTGGTCCATGATGCCATTAAAATGTCATTGAAAGATAGTCACTAGTTCTGAAGAGTCCCTATGCATCATAAGGAGGACATCATCTTAGCAAGAGCATCATAGATATGTACTTGTTTTGTTAGAGCAATAATTGGAAATGCAGTGTAGTTGAACACGGATTAGATGGTGACAATTATGTGTAGGTTTGTGTTCTTCCCTGGCTTCCACTGCACTTGGTGTGCTTTCCATTGCATTGGCAGTGATACAAGGTTGTCAAGTAGTGATTGACAAATCTATGTCAGGGTGTTCACAGCCTTGTCCTGAATAGTTATCCACTGCGACCAACTCAAACCTGCAGTCCAACAGAGTTAAATCATCAGCCTTCTGAATGGTAGTGATAAAGTCACAGCAGGCAACCTAATAAATAACTCAAGGTGGCCTGTTGCCATCTGCCATAATTGTGCTATTAAGAATGGATGAGCTACCTTTCAACTGATGTAAAATGCAAATGATTTTGGAATATAAAGATCTAAAGCCAATCTGTTATGTCTATCAAGTTTAAAACAGGCTGTGGCCCTCCTGGTTTTAATTTTGGAAATTCCCCTGATACATAGCATCATCTTCACATGTATAAATCAGTGTAGCCCTGTTTGAATCATTGAAGGTTTAAGCATTACCACTTGCTGACAATCTGACTGAAAAGAGAACGATTGTACTGTTCTGACTGACTGTTTCATATGAGACCATGACATGTTTTGCAGAGTGATAGATGAAATAATAACAAATAAACTACCATCAGTTTTATTTAAGAGAAAAGCCAGTTTGAATTGCCAAAGAAGTGTCCTTTGTTACAGGGGGATTGTATATTTCTGAATGGTCTTTATTCCAAGAAGACAGTATGAAAAAATGTAACTGGTTCCATTTCATCCCAATGAAACAATAGCTTTTGGAGTAAAAGCCATGAAGGCTAAAACATGCAACATTCAGCCAGCATGCTCAGGAGCTAAAACAGAAGTTCCCAAGGCATGTTAGTCTTGGTGGTACTTGGACTACTTTAGAGTAGTCCATCTGTGTGAAGATGCCTAAAGAGAAGTGGGGAAATACTGAGGGATTGATTTGGGCTTGTTCAGCCTGCAGAAGAGAAGGCTTCAAGGAGTTGTCTAGAACAAGATTATCTAAAGGACAGAGCCAAGGTCTTCACAGTGGTGCATGGCAGGAGGATGAGAGACAACAGGCAGAAGCTGAAATGAGAGATTCAGACCAGATAAAAGGAAAATCTTCACATTGAGGACAGGCAGGCTATGGAGCAGGTTTCCCAGACAGGTTGTGTAGTCTCCATCCCCAGAGATTTCAAGATCAGACTGGGCAAAGTCCTGAGCAACTTGGTCAGATCTCACAGCTGAGCAGGGTTTAAGCTAGAGACCTCTTGGCTCCCTACCAGCCTGAATCACCCCACAATCGTATGATCTAAGTGCCCAGTTCAGACGCTTATGAGACATTCACATGCAACCAGGCAAAACTGGTGACCTTATCCATCAGGGTGAACACTGACAGACAAGATGGGATTCCTTTGACCAACCTGGTGGATCTGGGATGTGGACATCTGATTTAGATAAGCAGACTCCCTTTATCATCAGCAACAATAAAGAGACATGACACAAATCATACTGCGCTAAAGCTGGTGTGTAAAAGAGGTTGGACAGTCTAACCCCTGAAATTTTCCAGTCTTCACTGACCACCAACCCTCAGTATGTGCCCAGAGTTAGGTGTAATGAATCCTGCCCACAACTGCCTTCATGCACATTAAGCCTTCAGTTCAGGACAATGCCAACACATCTGAAAGCAGACAGTTACAAATGATGACCTTTTCAGGGTTTAACACAGACCAGCTGATCAGCAGGTCATTACAAAAGCACCTCCTAAGGTTACTTCCTTCCAGTGCCTCCTACAGCTAATTGGTGCTGGTGACTCAATGCCTGGTTAGACACAGGTCCCAGCACCTGGGACTACAGCACTAGTGGTGATTCCTGAGGCTGCCATTTGCACTGTAGGGGTACCCAAGGAAGCTGAGACTCCAAGCCTTTGACTTAAAACCTATTTTTAGTCCAAAAACTGGCCCTCTAAGAAGCAATATCTGAAAACCATATGATGTCATTTCTAGTTTGCTTATTGTCACCACTAAATATGATCCAGCTGGTGGGTATTACATGTATTTATAAGATGTAAATGAAATGCCACTTTATATTCACCTCTGATAGGACAGCTACAGTTTAAGCGATTTTCCACTGGAACTGAAATGCCCTTTGGAAAAACAGGCAGTGAAGTGCATTGAGTTGGCTGCCAAAGAATGTGACCACAAAGGCAGTACCATAAAATTATACTGTTAGTTGAGAGCACAGCCCAGCAAAGCACCTGAATATGTGTGTTAAATCCAGCCTGACTAGCAGGGGCTGGGTGGACCAGCTGGTGATCTGCAGAGTGTACTTTGAGAATGCTGACTTTGGGTCCAGAATGGGTTTTGTGCCTCACCTGTTCTTGATTTAAGCCTGGAAGAAAAGCTGACTTAATGCTCATGTATGCAAACAATTTCTCATTGATCAAAACTACACTCCATTTGACGCAGTCATTTGCCTACTACAGAAGAGTTGCAGAGTTTGCATAAAGCAACTCTTTCAAGGACTGCCCAAGGCTGATTCTGTTGTTACCCATATACAATGCACACCTTAGAAATTTGCTACTTGTTATTAAAGCAGTTCTAAGCATGGTTATCCATATTCTGAATATAAATTCAAATTCATTATCATGCCACAACATTTGATATATGGACATTGACATTTTGTGACTGCTGTATTTGTTTCAGATGAATGTACCCTTCAGTTCAGATGCTCTAAGGAACTCAAATGATCACAGCTGATTTTGTCCTTTAGATAGCTTTTCTAAAGAGTTTTTAACTAAGTGGATCCACAAGCAGATACAAATCATATGGGCTTTTTCCCCCCCTTCTAATCCCTTTCAGGACTTTGGCAATCAGATTTTCTGCAACTTTTAGTTGATAACAACATGCTCTGAAGAGCTGGCGTGAGTCTAAATTTAGGCTTGTGCACATATCAGCTGGGAATTCTGCAGCATACGGCAGCCTAAGAAATATCATTTGCATGACAGCAGATGAGTGAAGTGTTTGCTGTTTTTTAACTTCATATTGATTAATTTGCCTTGGGATTTATCAAATAATAACTGAAGCAATGAATTCCTTCCCAGTAAGTTATTTAGGTTTTTAAATGAAATTAGATTTTTACTGTAATTTATTTTTATTATATTAGTGTCTAACAATCTAATTTGTGTGACGCAGTCTGTAAATATGTAGCAAGAAAGAGTCTCAGCTCTAGAAAGTTTTATTAAGGAAGGCAGACAAAAAGGAGTAGAGGAGCAGAGGTGCAAAACTGTGATTTGTCACGTTTGGTGGCAAAATAGGAGTAGGACCTCTGTCACTTGAGAATTATCCTCATGCATTCTTCCATTGGCTCATTAACTCCTCTGCAAATACTTCTGCACTGATTTTTTGGGTCCATTCCCAGAAAATATTGTGTGCTCCATCCAACTGGGCCAAACTCAGTTGGTGCTGGGGACATTCCACTCCATACACAACTAGATTTGTTGTGTCCAAATGCATCATTTCATCCAAATTTATGTTGGATATGAAGTATTCACTATTGGTATAAGACATCGATTTAAAACAGCGCTGCTATTATGGAGACCACAGAGAAAGGACCTCATGTCCACTGCTGATATGGTTTTCACTAGTTTTCTTATATATATTTAGAATTATATTCTTAGTCTATATATATATGTGTGTGTGTATCTTAATAATTTGAATCCATGTTTCTTTGAAAAAGCATTATTCATTCTTTTCTAAAAACACAGCCAGCTTCCTCCCAACACGAACCATTTCTGCAGGCTACGAAAGGTCACTTTGCCTCTTGTTTCTTTTCCGCAGGCTTGTTGTATGTTGGGTTTAGCGCCTGTATGTTTGGCCTCTACAGCTTTATGCCGGTGGTCATAAAGAA